AGGATAGAGCAGGGTTTAGGGCTGTTGTACATAGGGTCGCTATGAGTCGCAAACGACTCGACGGCACATAACAACAACAACAACAACAACAATGAGATATTCAGGACTCATCCCCAACATCAATTTCAAAACCTTTATTTGTTTGTCCACTTTTAGATGCATAAGAAGCAATTGAAAATACCATGATTTTGATTAGGTGCGCCTTGATCTTTGAACTAACATTCTTGTTCTTTAGCACTTAGAAGAAGTCCTTGACTGCAGATTTTGCAAGTGCCTAGTGTCTTTCAATATCTTGGCTGCTCCTACCATGCATATTGATTACAAATCCAAAAAAAATGAAGTTATTGACAATGTCAATCTTTTCTCCATCTATCATGAAGTAGGATATAATCTAGAACCAATAGTAAGGAAGAAAGAAGTTCAAGCTGCATTGAAGGCATTGACAAAGAATATGTCCCCAGAAAGTGATAGAATACTAGGTGTTTCAACAAACAGATGCAGCCTGGGACATGCTTTATATTCTTTGCCAGGAAATTTGGAAGACAGCTGCATTCTTTAGTGACTGGATGAGATTCCCAAAAAGGGGAGACCAAACACAGTGTAGAAATTATCCACTAAGATAACTACCATCACATAGAAGTAAAACCTTGATGAAGGTGACTTTGAAATGATTCAAATAGACTAGATGGAAGTGTAGGAGAAAAAAATTAGCCGTTGAAAATTAGCTCACCTTTATGGATGAACAGCCACCTAACAGCAGGTATTGATGTCTTCCTGTCAGGAGAAAAGTGACTAAAATCACAGGCTCAAGGAAATAATCTGAAGAACAGATCAACTGCTTAAAACTAATTCTTCAAGTACCTGTATGCAGAAGAACTAGATGGTTTCAGGCTACCACTGATAGTCAATTTAAAAGGGATTACAGTAAAAAGATCATGGATAGGATGTGAGAGAAATGTAAAACAAATCTCAAAATCATAAAAAAGAGGGCCAATATTACTGGTCTGATAAAGATTTGTGGAACTTCTGAGACCATAGCTCTTCGACATCCTTCAAACATGGTAATACACTCACACCCATTACTCAACTTTCAGTCAAATAGTAAACAGGTTTATTAGATGAACAGTAACAACAAGTGGCCATCTACTTCTTAGAACTGTAAACAATCAAAAGGTCCTCATTTACCCAAGAAGAAATCTCAGAAGGCTGTAAGAGATAGAAAGGAAGAAAGAATGGAAATTATTAACACAGGGAGAGAGTGAGAAAAGGCTATTATTTCACTGTGGAAACTCCAATCAGTGTCACAAAACAGTTGTGTATAAATTGTTACAAAACCAATTTGTTCAGTGAATTTACACCCACATCATAATTAATTTAAAAAAATCAGCACAGTACAACTCTGAGACACCTGAGGTCACCATGAATTGGAGCTGATTGAAAAAATCCTGGGTTTAGGCCACTGGGATGACTTTAGATTTTACTTTTTATGTGATGTGGAGCATTGCTGGATTTTTATTTTCAGAGAAATACTCTAGCTACAATATTGAGAAGAGTCACAGAAAAGAGAACAAATGTAGAAGGATCTTGGCTATTGTCATAGTTTCAATTATATGTGAAGGTAATTGCAAGCAGTACTGTAGAAGGTACTGAAGAGACGAATTTGCTTATCCATGTGCAGGTGGTCTGTAAAACTAAGATGAATCAATGAGCTGTGTTAAAGTGAAATTTAAAATATCTGTAACTTTTGATTCTTAGGTTAAATGTCAGTAATTTGTGTTGCTAATAAAACTTCCATTTTCTTCCTTAAAGTTTCATTTTTTCAACTGACTTCCTGGAATTTCTATTTTGGGAATATTCAGTAACTTTCTTTAGAGTTAGCTTACACTGCTAAGTTTTAAATAAATAATATTTACTATCCTGATGGAGAATCCATTATTACTTACTTTCATTAGAAATTATTCAATGATATTAAGTAAAAATTATTAACTTGATCTGTACTTCTTTTATAATATGATGATGTAACCAAGTTGGAAAATTATTCTTTCTTAGTAGAATGATGATGCTAAGGTTTAAACGACTAAGAAGCAAAAGTAATATAGGATAAAGTTGGTTACCTTTTCATGACAAAAGTAAAATACTTGAATAAAGAAGAAAAGCTATTTAAATTCTATGCACATATAAATTTTGCCTGGCCCTTTGATAACCTTTTTTGTATTCCCCCTCCTCCCCAGATGTTCTTCCTGGCCATGTCATTTACCTATTTTGCTAGAGCACTAAGTGGAGTTGTTATGAAAAGCTCCATTACTCAAATTGAAAGGAGATTTGATATATCCTCCTCTGTTGCTGGATTAATTGATGGAAGTTTTGAAATCGGTAATTTTTATTTTTATTTTAACTCTTACTTGGTAACCAGATTTCCAGAGTTCCAAAGCTCTTCACACATACTCTACACCACCACTTCTCAGCTATGAGTCAATTCTGACTCCATGGTACATAACAACAACAACAACATAGCATTACCTAGAAAATCACATGCTTTATTTTGTTTGTAACTGATTGCCTTGCTTATTATAAATGTCAGAGTACAATGAGTGCCTTACTGTGAAGAGTTTCACATCTTCAATTAAATTATGTATTCTTTGAGGGAAGGTGACACTTGTTGTGTTTTACTTGCATTCATTATAGATACTTCTTTTTCATTGGATTCAGTCTTTTATTTCTGAAATAAGTCCTCTTAAAAGGAATTTATTCTCTTTCAGGAAATTTGCTTGTTATTGTATTTGTAAGTTACTTTGGATCCAAGCTACACAGACCAAAGTTAATTGGAATCGGTTGCGTAATTATGGGAACTGGGAGTCTTTTGACGGCTTTACCACATTTCTTCATGGGACAGTAAGTATCTTAGACCTACTACTGTCATTCTACATATACACAAGTGAGTAGCTATAAAGGATGTAAATTGATTTTCTCACATTTCAGGAGGTTGGAAGTTTGAGTTCAGGACATGCTTGCTTCTAATTGGAAGTTCTTCATCTATTACACCTTTGAATTATTGTTCTGTTCGAATAGTTGCTAGAAATCCTTGAATGTATTTCAGTTGTCTATCTCCGTCTTCTTCATGCTTTTATGATTCAAAAATTATTAAATTTATAATTTATCATACTAGATATAACTTAACACAACAAAAAACACCCCTATTTCCATACACAATCTGATCTACAAGAGGTATTCATTTTAAAACACAAAACTAATATTTTTGCTTCTGATTAAAATATCAACTTTATCAAGCAGCGTTTTTCAAATTTCAGGTCTTCAATAATTAAATCAATCCAGATGACTGATACAAAAAAAAATTGTTAATAAAATCAATCAGAAAGGGTAGAGTAGAACAAAATAATTTAAAATGCATGAGGGGGCAAATATGATTCTGTGATGCTTTTGGTTATATATGTATTTATGTATTTGTGAATGCTTGTGTGTTTTGTTTGTACTCTGTGATACAAAAATACATTTCTTACTTTTATTCACTGTCAAAATATTGACAATTACTTGCTTATGGATTGGTATCTAAACTCCTTTCCTTATGCAACTCAAGCACTGATATGTCCATTAACTATCTCCCTTTTACTAACTCCCTTTTACCTTCCACTGCTCACTGCAATGGATGACTACATTTAAGTTCTACCAAACTATTTACAGTGCTCCAAATGTACTATAATATGTCATACATTTGTAAGTTATATTCTGCAGCCCTTAAGATATTTTTCTACTTTACCTATCTATTAAACTTCTATCCCTCTTTTCAGATTCATCACATAGATCATTTTCTTTATAAAATATTCTCTAACTCATTCATTTCTAATTCCAAAGAAAAATGATTTTTTTTCTCATTGTAAGAGTTTGTGATTTTATATACTAAAATTACTATTTTTTAACATAAGAAGGTTTGGTGGTCCCTCGTGGGTAGGGTGTTGCACTACTAACCCAAAGGTGGTACCTTTCTGTAGGTTTGATTCTACCAGCATCTCCATGGGAGGAAAATGGACAATCTTCTCCCATAAGAGTTAAGAGCCTCTGAAAACCCACTGCAGAGCCAGTTATGAGTTGGTTTTAGCCTATTAGCAGTGAGAGTTGATGTTTTACCATATTTCTTTTTCTGCAAAAGTATGAACTGTTCTAAATGTTAGAACTTAAGTTTTTCAGCTGCTCTACAAAAGAAAGAAGGGCAATCTTTTCACTTATGATTTATAATCTCTAAAAAACCACTGGAGTTTCAGTTATGAGTTAATTTTGACTCAACAGTACATTACAGCAACAAATTTTATTTCAAAAATCTTCATCTTACATACTTTAAACATGCTAACAGAAGGGACCAGTCCTTTAAAAAAGGCTTCATGGTGGGAAGATTAGAGAGTCAGAGAAAGAGGGGAATATTCACACAAGATGGATTGACACAGTGATTGTGCTTCTGGATTGTGCAATGGGCTCACGCATATTCGAGATAAAGAAGATGGTACAGTACAGGGCAAGGTTTAGATCCACTGTTTATAGGGTCCCTAGGAGTTGTAGTGTGCCCCTCACTCATAACAATAACAACATTTATTAAACATCATCAAGAATTCTTACAAAAATAAGAGTATAGTCAAAGAGTTAGATAGAGTTAGCAGTTTAAAATTAAACTTTTAAACCAAGATATTTCATATGTTGGCAAGAATATAAGTACTCTTAATAAAAAAAGAATCTTGGTAATTATTTTGCCTAGAAAATAACAAATGGTCTTTTTTGGTGGCTTCTTCCACTTCACTTTCAACCAAAATTATTTCTTGTTCTCATTATATGTCAACCATTTGGCTATGACTCATAGCTATTCAATGACCAACAGATTTGAATCTGGCCCTATCTTGTACCATCCACACCATCTGCAATACACTTAAGCCCATTATTACAGTCCCTGTGTCAATCCATCTTGTCAAGGGTCTTTTTCTCTTAAGCTGACCCTCTACCTTTCCAAGCACGCTGTCCTTCTCCAAGGACTAGCCTCTCCTAACAACATGTCCGAAGTACGTGAAATGAACTTTCACTATTCTTCCTTGCAAGAAACATTTTTATTTCACTTTCTTGAAGACAGGCCTATTTGCTGTCTTGGTAGTCCATAAGATATTCAATACTCTTCTCCAACACCATAACTCAAAATCATCTATTTTTTTTCCTTAGTCATTGTACAACTTCAATATGTATAAAAGCAGTTAAGAAGATTGCAACTTAGGCGTATCTTACTATTTAAACAGAGGTTAAAGGCTCATCACTGTTCTTCAGTATTCTGGTCAGGTCCTTGTCAGCAGATTTTCCCAAAATGACTTACCTTTTGATTTCTTGACTATTGGTACTAAGAGTATTGATTGTGGATCCAAGCAATTTTAAATCACATAATTTCAATCTCTTTTCCATCTATGATGATATTGGGTATAGACCGAGGGGTGAGGACTTTTGTTTTCTTTTTTTAAAGTTTTTTTTTTAATTATTAATTTTAATGAAAATTTACAGTGACTTTGGATTTCCATTCATTCACTGTTGCACCTTTCTTCCTGCCCATCCCCTCCTCCCCTGGCCCCCGTACACTCTTCTCTTTGAAAAGTAAAAGAAAAATTCTTCCAATTCTTTACAATACCTCCCCTCAGGTCCACTCCAGTCCACTAGGCAGCCTTTGTTCGGGACTCCTGTCTTGACAATAATACCTAATCACATATCCCTTTTAAACAGTTTTCTCCCTCATATGTTTCAATACAGTATACATTATTTATCCCACCTTTCTCAGTATTCCCCCAACCCCAATATCAGTCTGTTTTACAACAGTGGCACTATGCAGTATTTGTCCTTTGGTGGCTGAAATATTTCATTCAGCATAATGTCCTGCAGGATCACCCATTTTGAGTAATATTGCATGAGTTCCTTGTTTTTCAATGCACTGTAGTATCCATTGTGTGAATATACCACAGTTTCTCTATCCATTAGTTTGTTGATGGGCACTTAGGTTGTTTCCAACTCCTTGCTATTGTGAACAAAGCTGCAGTAAACATGGGTGTGCAATAAACATTGGGTGACAGTTATGGTCTCTTTGAGGTATATTCCCAGTAGTGGAATTGCTGGGTCAAATGGTATCTCTATTTGCAACTTTTTGAGAAAGTGCCACATCACCTTCCACAGAAGTTGCACCAAACTTTTGTTTTCTTAATGATAAGATGAAATCTATATTGAAGGCTATAGTCCTCGATCTTGTGCAGCAAGTGCTTCAAGTCCTTCTCACTACCAGAAAACAAGGCTGTGTCATCTCCATAATGCAGGTTATTTATGAGTCTTCTGCCAATCATGATGCCATGTTTTTCTTCATAAAGTCCATCTTCTCAAATGATTTGTTTGGAATACAGACTGAATAATGGAGAAAGTATAGAACCATAATGTGCAGCTTTCATGATATAAAACCATAGTGTTCTCTTGCTCTACCTGCATGGTAGCCTCTTGGTCTAGGTTTTACCTACATAGGTTTCACATGAGCAAAGCAGTGCTCTGGGATTTCCTTTCTTCTCAGTGTTACTAGTAATTCATTGTGATCCATATGGTCTAATGTCTTTGCATAGCCAATAAAACCCAGACATCTTTCTGGTATTATCTGTTTTCTGCCAAGTTTCACCTAATGTCAGCAATGATAACCCTGCTGTCACAGCCTCTTGTAAGCCAAGCTTAAATGTCTGACAGTTATCTGTTGATAAACTCTTCTAGCTGTTTCTGAATATTCTTTAGCAAGATTCTCTTTGGTGCAGTGACTTGATATATTCCTTTAATCTTATTTTGTTGCTTCTTAGATCATTCATGGTTTTTTTCATAGGATAGTTCAGTATTCCAACTTAAGGTTTGAATTTGTTCTTCAGTTCTCTTAGCATGAGAAATGCCAAGCTAGTTCTTCCCTTTTGATTTTCTGAACCCAGTTCACTATACCTTTCTTTATAATACTTTGCTTTGTGTTCTTGAGCTGCCCTTTAGAATCTTCTGTTCAACTCTTTTACTTTCTTGCCTTTGCTTTGGCTGCTTGATGTTCTAGGACAATTTTCACAATCTCCTCTGATAATCATTTTCCTTCCCCACCATATTTGTCATGATCTTTTGCTTTCTTCATGACTGAGATATTTAGTGTCTTTCACCAGCTCATCTGATCTTCAATCATTAGTGGACAATGCCTTAAACCTAATCTTGAGATGGCTAGCAGTGGCAATGTGTTCTTCTAAAAGACAGGAAAATAAAAAAGACAATACTGGTTATTAAAACACAGATGTATAAATAAAGATTCTTTTTATTTTATTATTATTATTACTAGTTTTCATGAAAATTTACAGAGATTTTGGGTTTTCATTCATTCATTGTTGCACTGTTTTCTCCACCCTCATCCCCAGTTCATGCTTCCCCTCCCCCCTGAATGTTTGTTTTAATTGTCCAATTGCCACAGTGCTTGTCAAAGCCAGTTCTGATTAATCTCCTTTGTCAGTGTGTCCCTTGCCATTCCCTATCACTCCTCCCTGAGAGAGACTTCACCCTGATTCATAAGGAAAAGGGGATGGCGTATTCTCTTAGCTACTTCCTGCTGAAAAGGGACGCTGTGGGTTTCAGGGTGAAGGTCTTCTCTCACTACTCTAAAGTGCCCCTTTGGCTGTAGGAAATACATAGACTATTATGGGATTGATTTTGGAATTTAGATGCACTGTTATCAATTGTGCTTAGCCATACATGTTCATATCCTTAAAGATGTATCATGGAAGTGTTGCAGCCTAGAAGATACAAATTTGACTAACAAGTTAAAAGTGCATGAGTCAAAAATTGAAAAGCAATAATATTCCAAGTAGAGGTTCTAATAGTGGCACAAATCAAGTTACAGAGGGAAGGTGGTTCTTACAATACTATAGACTAGCACTTTGTCTATTATAGTGTAGAGGTTAGGAACCACAAGATGTAGAGGCTCAGCTATGTCATTTATGGTTCTTAAGTCCTGGAGAAAATTCCATCTACCCCTGGGTTGTTTTACAACTCGGAAGTTCGCATGCAAGGTAGAGGTGAAGTAAGGATCTGCTTATGAGGTCAGAAAACCTCATCTGTCCATTCCAACAACTACGAAATAGTGAGAAGAGTGGGACCTCAGAAGCCTTTTAGGACCAATTAGTAGGCTCTGTGTCCAGGAGAAAACTAACTTACTTACCAGTAATGCTAATGCTCACCCACAGCTCTTCTGGGAGGATCTAAATCGTTGAAGCATCCTAGAAAGATTCTTATGTATTTCTGGAATATGTTAGAAACATTTCATTGATAAGCAAAATTTTAAATAAAATAATGTTCTCACAGTTATAGGTATTCTAAAGAATATAATGTTAACCTGCCATCGAACTCAACATCAAGGCTGCCAATCTGTTCAACTAATCAAAATTTATTATTCAATAGATCATCACCAGAAACAGTGGGAAATGGTAAGAATTAACAATGACACTAACAATAGTTGTAAAATCTAAGCATAACTTGAAAAAAAATTGGTAAGTTGGTAAAATTTACATAGAAAACAAATTGGAAGAGCATTTGCATCTAACCTGCAGTCAAAATCAGAATTTAACAGGAAATAAAAAAGAGAAAGGCTTCAGTATGACAGCTGATAAAGAATATATATGCACATTTAAAATAAAACTAGTAAAGTGCCATAAGAAAAGAACAAAATATAGCTTTATTCTTAATTAAAAAAGGAAGTTATAAAATTAGTTAAGATTTCTTTATAGATTAAAATATTCTAAATTGTTATTGCAAATACAGTATTAAATATTGACTAACCTCTTACATAAGAAGAAATTAAAAATAAAATTTTGTTGTTGTTGTTGATTGCTGTCAAGTTAAGCACGACTCATAGTGACTCTATGAACAAAAGACCTAATGCCTTTCCATGATGATCATTGCTTCTCCAAGTTCATAAAGTTTCCAGAGGCATGTGGTTTAGGAAGTGGATGCCACTCCTGCTTCCCAGCATGAATCCATCTGAAAGCTCATCCAAACATTGTACTTAATGGGTAACCATTATTGTATTTGACATGACTGTGGAATAGTGTTCAGCATCACAACAACTCCAAGTATAGCAAATAGACAAATGAATGCTGTGTCATTTAAAGAATATTCATTCTAAAATTATTAAATTTGTCCTCAAGGCCACAAGCCCTTGGGCCTTACAGGATTTTAAAGCCATACCCTCTAGCAGGCCTCCACCCTTGGTCAAAGGCTCAAGGACCATCTGCTTGGAGGAGGGGGGAAGGGGGAGAATAGTAACACACATCAAACACAACCCCAAAAACTTCCATTACATGACCTCCATCAAGATAAGACCACCACTGTCGAGATGGTAGCTAGCAGCCAGGTGAAGTAAAAAGAAGCATACTGTGTAATGCTAGAAAAATGTATACTTTTTACTCTTTGTGGAGGATAATATTTATTAAGTATTTTAAAACAAATGCATATATAGCCACTTAATTCAGCAATCTTACTTTTACTTATCTCAAGAAAATAGTTAGGAAGGTGCACAACTATATATTTACCATTATAGAAAAATTTATTTAGCAGAATAGAAAAGTCTAATTAAAAAGTAGATTAACTCGATAAATGATATTATTTTTATCTCTATATTATTATGGAGCGATTAAAATAAACACATTTTAATGATATAAGAAATTGTCATATGATGTTAACTTTAAAAGAAAATTGCAATGAACTAGATTTTTTCATTTTTGATATAGCTAAAGAGTACTATGTATATTTTCATGTGAAATAAAATCATGCATAGTATATAACAAACATTAGAAGCAGCTATGGTGTTGTTGAATTACAATTTTTTTCTTTTTCTTTTTTCTTTTTGTTCTTTGCTTTCTTTTCAAACTTGCAAAGTAAATTTGAACTATTCTTAGAATAAAGAGAGGAAATCCTCTCAAATTAAACAAGAAACTAAAATAGTTGAGTTCCTAATAGAAAGATTAAGACTAAAAATAAAATACACTTTTGTTTTCACAGGTTGTGTAAAGGAATCTGGGTCCAACATGTGGATTTATGTCTTAATGGGCAATATGCTTCGTGGAATTGGGGAAACCCCAATTGCACCCTTAGGAATTTCTTACATTGATGATTTTGCTAAAGAAGGACATTCTTCTTTTTATATAGGTAATGTACAGAAAAGACGATATTGTATTTTTATCATTCTCAGATCTACACCTAAAATAATTTTTACTAAATTTATTTATTGCTTTTTACAAATTTATTTGAAGAGATAAATTGCATAATTTTACTTTTAAAGATCACATTGAACAAATTAAAGCCATGTATTATTGTCAACTGATAAAATCCATTTATAATAATTTTAGGTAGTTTGAATGCAATAGGAATGCTTGGTCCAGTTGCTGGCTTTCTCATGGCGTCTCTGATTGCTAGACTATATGTGGACATTGGATTTGTAGATCTAAGTAAGTATGCTGAACAAGGTAATATGATTATGCATTCAAGTCCAATACATCACTTTTCTAGATTTAAATCAATCTTTACATCTCCCATTTCATACTATTTCTTCAGATATTTAAATAAGAAATAGATGTTTTAACTATCCAAATGGAAAAAAGATTTTAACTAGTATCTGCTCACACATGCTTTTTTACAAATATATATAAATTGAAGAAATTTTAACAGACTTGTCTTTAACAAACTTGTCCTTGATTGGAAACAGCTAAACTGAAAATACTCCTCTCCTAGCACTAATCACTTGGTTAGGTAGAAGCCCTTTTTGTATTGATTCTGGTTTGGATGATGTTGTGGAGAAGTTACAAAGCCCTTTGCTAAAGTCCACTTGTAGTCGCCTGGTTAACCCATGAATGAAGTGGTTGCAGGATCCTTGCTTTCTCTGGCTGAAATATTACTAATTTCATGCCTTCTTATGTCATAGAAGAAACAAAGACCATGCTATGTATGCATGTTTGTTAAGTACAGTTATGTACGAAGCCATACATAGCTACCTCAGTTTGGGCCTCCTTTCTTGTTAAATGGAGCTCAGGTGGCCTAAACTTTTGTTTTACTCACCCAAAGACTTACCTCCCTGATAGTTCAAGTCCACCATTAGCTCTGTAAGAAAAAGATAGATTTTTTTTCCTCTGTGCAGTTTAAAGCCTTAGAAATCCAGTGGAGAGTCAGCTATAAGCCAGTTCTGACTCAACGGCAATGAGCGTGTGTGAGTGATCAAGTTTCTGCATTCAGTCAACGTTCATTGCTCCAACTGAGATTCAGAATCTGTCTTCCTGATTCAGATATCTACTTCTAGCCATCCTTTGCCATCTTCATCTTGCATGTGTAACCTCTCTACCTCTACTCATTCTCCTCAACAAACATATGCAAATCTTTCGATTTTTATGATTAAAATTTTTTCTTTTCAAAACCCAATTCATACCTGAATTTCTTTTCTTCCCCCACCCCCCATTCTTGTTCAAGTACTTTTAAAAAGAATCTAAATAGAAATCAACAATGTCAGTCTGGAGATTAAGTATGCCTGATGCAGGCCATGGACTTTGTAATTACTTGCTATGCATCAGAGAAAAGGAGAATGACTAGGGATGATAGAAGTAGAATTGATGCCTCTGAACTGTGGGGCTGGAGAAGAGTATTGACTATACCATGGACTGCTAGGAGAACGAATGGGTTTGTCCTGGAGAGGATGGAGCCAGACTGCTCCTTGGAGGCAAGGATTCTGAAGCTTCCTCTCACATACTTTGGACATGTTGCAAGGCGGGATCAGTCTTTGGAAATAGACATCATGCTTGGAAGGGTTGAGGGTCAGCACAGGAGAGGAAGACCCTTAATGAGATGGATTGATTCAAAGACTGGGGTAATAAGGTTAGCACAGGATAGAGCAGGGTTTAGGACCGTTGTATATAAGGTCGCTGTGAGTCACTGGTGACTCGATGGCACGTAACAACAACAAACTGAAAGCCTTCACTTTCTCACCTACTTACTTCTCAACCCAATATAATTGCTCTTACCACTAATGAATCAAAATCAATACCTATGTCATTTACTAATTGATGGCACCCAACACAGATGTTAAATATCTTTTTACAACTGATCGTAACTGATATTTCTAGTGTATGCTCATTTTATCTTTTCTTTGTGTCTCATAGATAACTAAGAATACCTCTACTCCCTCTCTTGATAAATATGTTCATCTTGATTTAATTTTTGCTTAAATTACTGCATATTCTTTCACATGCACACTATTTCCAGTCTTATTAATTAGAGGAAGACACTCAACTAGGTGTTTTTGGTTTGGTGTTATGGGTTTTTGTGTGTCAGGAAGTGTGAGGACAGCGCAGGATAGAACAGGGTTCAGATCTTTTCTCCATAGGGGTGCTATGAGTCATACTCGACTTGATGGCACCTAACAGCAACCACAGCTGTTTCAAGAGTATTAAAATGATGTGTTTCATGCCACCTATTTAAAATTTTTCAGGACCTCTGATAACACTTAAGAATAGAAGATAAATTCCATAAAATGGCAACCATAAGGTACTTTTCATTTCTTCCATTCAATGCTATCTTTCCATTTTCTATAAAAGAAACATTTGTACATGTTACTCCTGAGTGAAGCAAACAATTAACTACTTTGCTACTAAAACGAACAAACAGGTTGGCAGATCAAACCCACAGACAATTTGGAACACATTCTTGAAAATCTTATGGAGCAGTTCTTCTCTGCACACGTGGGGCACTATGAGTCAGAATCCAGCAATGCCACTAACAGCTACAACCTGGTGTGTTAGCAATACCTAACTAATTGTAAGTTTACCCTCAGTCAGAATCAACTCAACAGCATTGAGTTCTACTTTTCAGGTCCTGTTGAACACTAAGAGGATGAGTGTATTGCGGATACCTTTGAATTCACCTGTAACATGTTTTAGAAAAAATACAGAATTATTTCTATGTTAGCATATAATAAAGGATTAATATTTGTGAATGAACAGATTTGACATCCTAGTTCACCAGAATTTATCATGCCAAGAAAATCAAAGGATTTCTCTCTAAGACAGAATATCAGTAGTCTCAAATTTGAAAATACTTGCTAATATAAAGCAAAAACTCATACCTGATGAAATGTTACCTTCAGCTTCAAGCCCCCCTCTGTTTAGGCAAGCAAGGTTGTATCATCAGCATAATGCAAGTTGTTGATGAGTCTTGCTTGAATTCTGAGGTCACGTTCCTCTTCATAAATTCCAACCATGTCATGTTCCCTTGCTCTATTCAGATAACAGCTTGCTGGTCGAGATACAGATCATAAGCCCTATCAAGTGTTCAGGGATTTCCATTCTTCTCAATGTGAGCCACAAGTTGTTGTGATCCACACAGTTAAATGACTTTTCATATTCGATAAAACACAGACATCCTTCTGGTACTCTCTGTTTTCAGTCAGTCTCCTTGACATCAACAGTGATATCCCTGATACCATGGCCTCTTCTAAGCCCAACTTGTATTTCTGGGAGTTCCCTGTCATTGTAATGTTCTAGTCATTTTTTTATAATCTTCAGTATGATTTTGCTTGCATGTGATAATAGTGATATTGATCAATAATTTCCACATTCTGTTAGACTTTTTTTAAAATGGGAATAAATACAGAGTTCTTGCAGTCATTTGACGTTGTAACTGTCCTCAAAGTTTCTTAGCACAACCTAGTGAGCAAATCCAAGGCTGTATCTGTTTGTTGAAATAAGTCAGTTGGCATTTCACCAGTTTCTTGGGACTTATTTTCTGCCTATTCATTCTTGAGCATGTACTACTTCTTGAAATGGTTCTGGATTAGCCAAATATTTTTTGTACAGTGACTCTATTACTATTGTATTCTGTATTGCTTCTTGAATTATTCCAAGATCTTTCACATAGAATCTTTAAGTATTACAACTGAAAGCTGGAATTTCTTCTTCAATTCCTTTAGCTTGAGAAATGCCAAATGTGTTCATCCCTTTTGATTTTCTGGCTTCAATTCATTGCACCTTTCTTTGTAATAGTGTGTTTTGTCTTCATGAACTGCCCTTTGAAATCTTCTGTTCAAACCGTTTCTTCCCTTTATTTTGGCTCCAGAATCTCTTGTAGCATCCATTTTCGTCTTTTCTTCCTCTTCTGTCTTTGTAGTGACCTTTTGGCTTTCTTCATGGATTATATAATCCCAATATTTATTTGGTATTCATTCATTAATGTTAAATGCTTAAAACTTGGTTTTGACTGTTGTTGTTGTTGTTGTTCATGTGCCTCGAATCGCTTGTGACCCTATGTACAACAGCCCTAAACCCTGCTTTATCCTATGCCAATCGCACTGTCTCTGACACACCCATCAGATTACCCCAGTCACTGAATCAATCCACCTCATAGAGGGTCTTCCCCTCTTGTGCCGTCCTTCCACCCTCCCAAGCATAAGGCCCTCTCCAAGGACCTGCCCCTCCTTACAACACATCCAAAGTATGTAAGACGAAGCCCCAGAATCCTTGCCTCCAAGGAGCATCCCAGTTTAACCCTCTCTCGGATGAATCTGTTTGTTTTCTTGGCAGTCCATGGTACACTCAATACTCTTCTCTAGCACCACAGCTCAAAGGCATCAATTCTCCTTCTATCCTTCCTAGTCATTGTCCAACTCTCTGACACATAACAAGTGATTGCAAAGACGATGGTCTGTATTAGACACACCTTAGTCTCCAGAGAGACACCATTGCTCTCCAGTACTTTGGAGAGAAAGGTCCCTAGCAGCACATTTTTCCCATCACAATATATCTTTTAATGTCCTGGCTGCTGGTGCCAAGACTGTTGACTGTGGAGCCAAGCAGACTAAAGCTGTGAACAATCTCAATCGCTTCACCATCCATCCTGATGCTGCCAATTGGTTCAGTGATGAGAACTTTTGTCCTGTTGAGTTTGAATATAGAGTAACTAAATTTTTAAATGAAATTTTAATGAAAGTTTGTAAAGACTTTGTATTTCATTCATTTATTGTTGCACATTTTCCTCCCTGCCCATCCCTACCCCTAGTTGGTTTTCTCTTTGAAAAGTAAAAAAAGAGAAAACAAAAACTTTCATTATTATGCAATCTCCCCCCAACCAGTCCACTTCACCATACAGCTCTCATTCCAGACTCTTATCATAAAAATAATACCTAATCATATGTTCCTTTGTTTCAATGCAGTATACACTATTTATCCCCTCTTTTCTTAGATTGCCGCCAACCCAGATATCAGTCCTGCTTTACAACAGTGGCATTATGCAGTATTTGTGCCTTTGTGACTGAAATATTTCACTTAGCATAATGTCCTCCAGGTTCAGACATTTTGAATAATATTGCATGAGTTACTTGTTTTCAATGCAGTGTAGTAGCCCATTGGGTCAATACACTACAGTTTCTCTATCCATTCATTTGTTGATGGGCACTTGGGTTGTTTCCAAC